CAGAAAACATGATTTGATGAGCTCAGACTTTTTTCCCTGTCACAGGGAACTAACAGAAGTTAAACCAGGGAATGCTGCACTCAGATTTGTGTTTTAGAAAGGAAACAAAGTCTGCAGACTGCTTCTAAGAGAAAGGAGTGCAATACCTGGCAGGTGAAGCAGCAATGCTAGCACATGACCTGTCAGATTTTTTTTCTAGAACAGAGCCCAGGGAACATTTGGAAATATCTGGAGACATCTTTGATTGCCACATCTGGCAGGAGCAGAAGGATCTCTTGACATCTAGTGGATAGAGGGCAGTGATACTAAACACCCTATGATACACAGGACAGCCTCCCACAACAGTGAATTATCTGGCCCCAAATACCAATAGTGCCAAGGTTGAGAAACCCTGTTCTAAAAGGAAATGAGGTGGCCAGAGGGTGCGATATGACACAGACAAGGGCAGACTTCCCAGAGAGGCAAGGAGACCAGCGGGATCATGGGGCTTCTCAGATCTCTATTCTGCTACATCACATGCCAGGTGATGCCCCCACATCCATGCAACCTGGAACTCGGCATCTTTTCCTCTCTTTCCACTGAGTGAAAGGCTTGCTATTATTGGAATACCTTGAATTGGACCCAATTGATTTTTTAGAGGAAATCATTTGCACACTTCAATACTTGATTAATATTGAATAAAGTTGCTTGCGATCATCCCAGCTGATCAAAGCATATAGTCATGCAACAATGACTGGAGGAATCGCTGCCTTGGGTGTGCTCAAAGGGAGAATACGCAACCTCTCTCCACTCTGAGCAGAGCCAGCACCCCATCAATCAGGGAGAAACACGTGAAAAGCAACTCCTCCCACCAAGAAAACCAGGTGTCGCTGATTCTCCAAGAATCTCTCTGCTGGTCTCCAGTCCAGAAAACTTTCCCCTGGAAACCAATCCAATCTGCCACCACTTTTCAAACTCAAGTCCCACTATCCGGCCAAGTTTAGAGAACCCAGACTCTTTAAGATGTGAAATGCTAAAACAAGCCAAAAACATGTTTAAAACCCACTATGTGTCTCAAGTTGTGATATCAAAATACATACTCCCCAGACTGGAAACGAAAAAGAAATTCTTTTTCCAGACACTGTCTTTTTGCTGCCTTCCCTCTCATTTACACCCACACCTTCAGGGCTCACCTCTGCTTCATCAGCACTGCCTGCACCCAACAGACCAGCTGCTGTAAGTAGTCATTTGGAAGCAGAGTACAAGCACCAAATACAGGAGCCAGGCTGAACTTCACAAACTGGGGAATCTGCCCTCTTGTGGGTTTTCAATTGTGGAAATGGGATTCAATTACAATGACAAGGCCTGGGGAAGTGCTTGGGCATGAAACTGACCTCCCAGCATAGGGTTCCAGCTGTTCAAATTATGTAGCCGGGCAGGGATTTAGGACTTCCATCCATAAGGAGTAAAGGGATCTTTACAGAGAACTGTGTCTGTGTAGCATATTTCTGGAAGGATGCAATGGACACTGGTAGCTATGGGTGTCCCTAGGGACAAGGGAGAGAAGAGGGATAGAAAGTCACTCTTCACAGTAGACCCTCTTGTATGCTTTAAATTCCGAATCATACATATGTATTACCTACTTGTAAAATAGTAATAACAATTAAAAAAAAAACAAATGAATGATATAAACCCACCTAAAAAAAGAGCCTGTGAAAACAACCCCAGGTTAGAGAATCGCAAGTTTCTGTCCTTTGACTTAGCCTCCTCTTGCCTGTAGTCACAGGAGTCAAAGAAGAAAGCACTCACATCCATAGTGGGAGCTTCAGCTTCACTTCTGAACTCCCAACCCTATTTCCAACTGCCAAGGCTTTCTCCATCTGGAAATTCCACCCATGGGGACCTCAAAGACAAGACACTTCAACCCAAATCCTCCTCTTTTTTCCCTTTTTCCTTCCCTCTACCCTCCAAACCTGATCCTCCTCCAATATTCTCAATCATTATTAGAAAAACTACCCATTCAGCTTTCCAGTCTAAAAATCCAAGAGTGACCTTAGGGATCCTCTCCTCTCCGCATCCTCATCCAGTCACCAGATACTGTCAATGCCTTCTTGATGATGTTTGTCAAATAGGTGACCTCTTGTCCTCTCCCACTGACCTCTAGTTCAGTGCCACCTAGTAAACTGAATTCCTGCACTGGAATGTGAGCGCCAAATGGTTTTCTAGCTAGTTCATTCTCCGCACTGTCCAGCCTCATCCCCATCATCTTTCTGAAACACCATTATCTGATCCTGCTTAAAAACCCTGGATAGATCACTAATGCCTACAGAATGGAGCCCAAATGTCCTGGTTTAACAAATGACCATTTACATTGCAGACTGAAGAAATAGTTCATCCCTAACACATGACCTGTGCCCTGGCTGGTCTGGTGTAACAAGCCTTGCTCATTTTTCCCTCCTGCATGCCTTCACAACTTTGCATTTGCTGTTACCGTGACTTGAAAACTTTCCCTTCCCTCCCCACTTGCCTTGTCCAGAAAAAGAAATTCCTAGCCATCCTTCCAGACCCCCACTCCATTTATACCTTCTCTGAAAAGCCTCTCAGAACTGCTCTCTCCTCTATGCTCCTCTAAGGCTTTGTATACACCCACATTATAGCCCTAACCACACTCTTTCATAATTATTTATGTTTCTATCTTCCCTGCCAGAATATGAGCTGCTTTAAAAAACAGCTGCTGTATTTTATTCATCTTTGAATCCACTGCACCTCCCTGCTAGCACTGCACATAAATGTTTGCTGAATGAATTGGCTGAAAGTACTTTGGTAAAAATTTAACACATTATCCCAAAATTTTATAGACCTCTGTGGCTAAAATCTCATTTCTTTGCCCTCTCTCTCTCTCTCTGCATACTTACTGGCACGCCATCACAGGTCTCTGGAGGGCCAGTTATTCAAAGGGAACTAACAAAGTGCCTGCTATTTGTAAACAGGGCCATTTGTAAACCCTCTGGGCTAGATTTAGAGATTGCCTTTCTAACTCTGACAACGCTCCTTTGAGCAAACACTCCACTCTAAGCATTTCTTTTCCAAATGCCTTGAGTCCTATAAGTAACCTTTGCTTACCTGAAAACACTTTCAGGGAAGCTGAAAGGAGCTAAACAACAATGAAGTGACCCTGTGGGGACCACCCAGCCAGTGAGCCTCATGCCCACGGAGGAGGCTGAGCAGACGACGCCAGAGACCCACTCCCATCCCTGCCCACTTCCACCACCATCAGCGACTGAACTGCTTCAGCCTCCAAGGACTCTCTGCTCTCCTGTGATGATCACGGTAGCCCATTAATCACAAGATTATTCAAGTAAAACAGCATCGTATGCAAAGTGATAACCCCAGTGGCCTGTAGAACAGTCCGTGACAAATGAGAGAAAGATTAGGGGGAGGCACTTATTTGAATGGAGCCCCAGGGGGCAGAGACCTGATGACAGCTCCCAGCCACAGGGTCTCTGCTTTTGCTTTTCTCTCTCCACCTGGAATATGCTACCTGTAGACAGTCACATCCAGGTCTCTGCTCATATGCCACCTCCAAAGAGGCCACCTGATGCCTCCACCCCAAAGGCACCATCTGTCACTCTTCGTCCCCTCACCCTGCTTTGCATGTCTTCATGGCACTGCTGGTACCTTGCAGCCCAGTCCCTGCCACCTTGCTCCCTGTCTATCTGGTTGTGTGAGGACCACTGTCTCCCATTCAACCAGGAGGTCAGGGACTTTGCTGGATTCCCAGACAATCCAAGCACATAGCAGTCTTCCAGTAAGTGATTATTCATTAAAAAAAAAAAAAAAAAAAGCATACAGGGAAAAATTCAGGGCACTGCTCTCAAGTAGTTTGTAATTTCACAAAAGATGTAAAACACACTTAAGTGTAACAAGCTAAAAGCTAGCAGGGTTAAATACACATCACAGATGAATAATAAGAGAAATGACAGACTTTCTGAGGAAGGAGAGGAGTGGTGTGTGCAAGACACACGAGAATGCTTCCCAGAGAAGACAGAACTTGCATCTGCCTCGAAGGCAATGGAGAATTCAGCAAGTTTAAGAAAACAGGCCAGAGTGTTTCACCCTGGGGGACTGTACAATCCCAGTATGATAAGGCCAAATTATCACCACATGGAGGCTCACACTTCACGCACTGCTCTCTACCCACACTTCTCTCCACGCCCTCGGCCCACCCACTGTCCTGGAGAAAAAGGATAAAACTCCAAAGGCAGAATCTCTTGAGGAAGGAGCCAGAGAGGCACCACAAACCCCACGTAAGTCTAGAGGTGGTCCCAGGACTGAAGGAGCATTCGAGAACCTAGGATGGCAGAGAGCAGAGCACAGAGCTCTGACTCTGGGGGCGACAGGAAGGACTGAAGCCGAGGGGACTGGCGACAAGAGTTGCCGGGGCGTGTGCATGACCATCTCCCTGACACCAGAGGCGCCTCCCCATTGGGCGGCGTGTGTCCTGGCTCTGCACGCACGCTTACTTCATCCCTCCGTGCCTGCGCCTCCTCATCCGCGAAAATGGAGATGATAACAGTGCCTACACCACCTGGCTGCTTGGGGGTAAATGGGCCGCTCCTGGCGCATAGGGATTAGCCTTATTATTAGAATTTCACTGTGAGTCCTGGCTCTTGAAATGCAGCGTTGTCCTAATGGTCTACAGGGATCATGGCTTTATAACACCTACACACGTTTTAAGGAGCAATGTCACCAACAGCCTGGCCAGAGCAGTAGGTTCAATGCTGGGATCCACTGGAGAGACAAGCTGAGCAAGAACACGGGGCCCCACACCCGGAGCCGGGCACTCGGCTCTGTCAGCGAGCCCTGCTGCTGTTGGTGAGCACGGGGGCTCCCACCGGCTAGAAAGATGAAATCACTTGGGAGGCAAAAGAGGGCCTAAGTCATTTCCAAGTAAAGTGTGCATTGACCACTCCACGGTACGGTGGTCTCCATCCAGTTCAGCCTTCCCAAGGGGCACTCACGGTTCTGGGGTGTAGAGGGGGTCTGAGCCATGCCGGATGTACTGGGTGCAGTGGAACACTCGGTAGGCCAGGCCTGCCAGGAAGTCTCGTGGGCTCAGGTATCCAGCCACCGGCCTCACGGTGAAGCCAGACCTTTCTAAAGAGGCAACAGAAAAAGCCAACTAAATACTGACCTGGTGATACCTGAGGGCCCAAGCAGGGCATCCTATTATTTATAAAGATGTGCTAGAAACAATGTAACCCAGATCTTAAAACTCTTGACAACTGAATAATATACAATATCAGCAGCTATCATATTCATAACTTCTCAATGCTAAAATATACTCTCGAATGACGGTTTCCAGGGGAACAAGACATTCATTAAAATGGAAAGAAAAGTGAAAAAAAAAATAAGGATTTAAATTCAGAAGCCTGATGAGGATCAGACACAGGAGAGGACATCTCCAGCGTGCCTAGCATGGTGTCTGCTGTCTCTCTGAGGGGCACATCCAGGGAGGGAGGAAGGGAGTCCCCCTGGCTGTCTGTGCTCAGGTCACACCGAGCTGATTCACTCCCTTCCCTAGCAGCGTGGAATCAGTTCACACTACAGCTTTCTGTAGTCCAATACCACCTAACTCCTTCATTCTACAGGATTGTTTTCTGTGATATTATGAAAACAATCATATTAATTACTGCCACTGGAAGAAGTACACTAAAGAGGTCCATGCTCCATTAGTTTATGGTAAGAGAGAATAAAATAAGCAGAATACAATAAACTTTATGAAACTGCCCTATACTGCTAAATCAATTAGGCTGTGGGCCATCAGTGTTCTAGTTTAAGGGATAGTGCTTCCTTCTCATGAAGGCCCAGAAAATTTACCACGAAAGCCTAGTCTTATCTCTGATACCCGCATTGTAAAGGCTCCCATTCTGAACCCCTCAACTCATTAGCAGAGCACCTGAGAATGGTTAGAATGGTTTTAACAGGCAAGAACCAATTAGGCTTGTAAAGCAGGTCCATCCTGGGATTGCTGGAATCTACATGGAAATCACCCTGTTCCCAGGCCTCCTCAGACCCATAATTCTAACAGTATTATGTTCATTCCTAAAGCTTTCACTTTGGATTGCTTCCCACTGAATATCAAAAAGATAAGTGTATTTTCTTCTTTTTCTACTTTACATCAATTACTCCAGTCTATCCCACATGTGGCACACGAGTGGTGGTACACAGAGGAACATTATTTTAATAGTTATGTATTTTATTTTTATGCATTTTTTTAAAAAGTAGCTATCACTTCAAGAACTTTGAATTTGTCGACATCATTGCTTAGAAAGTTTCCTTTTTAAATATACTAGGTGTTTTAAATGTGACCCAATGAAAGGAAATAAAAACACAAACATTTACATTGTGTTTGCCAATCTGCTAATTAACAAAGCAGACTGAGATCCCAGCATCTGGTTCATGAAGGGTTGGGAGAAACAACAGCAGCAAAGACAGTAATAATAATAATAATAACAACTAAGACTCTGCTCTCCTTACTGTGAGCCAAGCAGTAACTTTAGGGCTTTAAGGGATGTCATTTAGTTTCCCCTCCCAACCACGTTTCAAGGTAGATATAATTATTATCTCTATTGCAAAGAAAACTGAGGCACAGAGAGGTTAAGGCTACTTGTCTCAGCTCACACAGCTAGGAACTGGCAGAGCGGAGACTCACACCTAGAATCTCTTCTATACCATACTCCCTCTCAAAAATACTAAGCTGGGAGACAGATACGGCAAAAATTATGAGATGGGATTCAAATTCCTGGAGTTTGAGGAACAATGCAATAAAAAGCAATTCCCGTATGTGAGCAATCAAGCCCATGGCAATAATATGCACATAAATCCAGGGGATAAAAAAGAGGGGCATGCCAGGGCACAGCCATTTGGGAAAACATCACCCAGTTGAACAGCATAAAGCAGTATGTAGTTAGGTGCTCGTCAGTGGTTCTCAATCTCTTTTCCTCCATAGCAAATATCATGGATGATGTTCACCACATGTGGGGTCCTCCCGAGACCTGGGTGTGGTTCTCAGGGTACCAGCTGTCAGACCATGCCTACCTCCTGAAACACACATGGTCTAGAGTGAAACCTGAGACAGGAGTGGTCATGGTGGTGGTTATGAGGATCCATAGAGGAAGCAGCCCTACTCTGAGTCTCGAAGAGTAAGTAGAATTTGAGTAGCTTTCTATCAAGAGACAGAGCCTAAGCAAGGGTCTGGAGAGCCCCCAGCTAGAAGAGAGGGTTTGTACAGTATAGTCACAGCAGGAGACAAACTTGGAGAGCTGGATCAGGGCCTTCAGTGAGGCTGAGTAGTTCAAAACTTGATCATATAAATCAGAGGTCAGCAAAAAATGGCCCATAGTCCAAGTCAAACTCACTGCCTATTTTTGTACCCCATGAGCTAAGAATAGTTTTTATGTTTTTTAATGGTCACATTTAAATGGTTATCTAAATACCTATAAAGCAGCTGCTATTTCACCTCAGGGCCCACAAAGCCTAAAATATTTACTATGTGGACTTTTACCCAAAAGAATTTTTGCCAAGTCCAGTAAAGTCAGAGTCACTGATAGCTTCTGAGCAGAGATGCCAGGAAAGAAATAATGCTTTAGGAAGATTCATCTGGAAGAAGTGGGCAGGAGAATAGAGGGGAGAAGATACAGGAGTCAAAGTTGTAAAATGATGGGACCTCAATTTGGCTGGTGGCTGGAGAATGGGGAAAAAAAAAAAACAGGTCCGTGATGGGTCACAAAGCTGCAAGCGGCAATACTTAAAGACTGCAGTAAGTTGATAATGGCCCTCCAAAATGTCCAAGTCCTAATGCCCTCAACCAGCAAATATGTTCCCTTTCATGGCAAAATGAACTTGGCAGATCTGATTAAGTTAAGGATTTTGAGGTGGAAAGATTATCCTGGATTATCAGGTGGGGCCAGTATACTCCACAAGGGTTCTTCTAATCAGAGTCAGAAGAGCTCTGACAAGGGAAAGAGAGGTTGGAGCGACAGGAGGAAGGGGCCATGAGCCAGGGAATGCAAGCACACTCTTAAAAGCGGAAAAAGGCAGGGAAAACAAACCTCCAGAAGGAATGTACACTGACGTGACCTCACCATTAGACATGTGATCTCCAAAACCGTAAGATGACACATTCGTGGGAGTCACTAAGTTTGTCATTATGTATTAGAGCAGCACTAGGACACTCAACGAAGACTGATTACATATGGGAGGCGGGCCGGGGTTCAGAGGAGGATGCTTAGAGGGGAGCCTGATGGGCTAGAGAATTAACTCTCACCAAGAAAGAAGACATTTACACCTTTGAGGAAATGAGTTTCAGGAAAGAAATCAGGCAGTGAGGCTTTTACTTTTAGAACTGTTGCACTTCAAACTGCGTGGGATGAGGGGGTGGCTTGGGGGGTGCAGAGACCCTGAGGGCTTAACCACAATGAACAGAGGAGGAAGTGGGCCACCAGGAAACTTTGCACCCCCACCCCTCCAAGAGTCCCGAGTTTCCTCAGTCACTGTCTCAGGAGCGTCCATGAGGAGAGTGACCACACAGAGGCTGTGACCCCGAGGTGACTCTCTGCCTCATCTTCCTCACCACAGTAACAGCAGCAATGGGTACAGTCCCTGGCACACATTTCATACATCAAACTATTGGTTTGATTGACTGGTTTCCCCCAGAGGAAAGTCACTAGTGTTCTACATTATCCATGATATTTCTTCATCCAGTACATAATTTTTAACAAAGCAAATAAAAAGTCACCTTGGAGATCATTCCGTGCCTATGCAGCCCAACAGAGTAGTACCTGGATCAGGAAAAGCTCAAAGTGGGACTTGCAAATATCCTCTGGGGGTTCGTAGTACAAAGCAGCCTACCACCGAGAGACCTCCCCAAGCCCAGAGCTGTGCACACAGCTGAGTCTAGCTCCCCATCCGAAGCCCCTGCTCTGCTGTCCGCAGGTGGCCCTGGGTAATTGTTGGTTCAATGCTTCTCTTTTAAAATCAGAGATGGTTCTTCATTTTGTGCAAAAAGGGCCCTTGCTGCAACACATGTCCTTGGAAGGCAAGCTGAGGATGTTGTCTAGAAAGAGAAGAGAGCCTGTGGGCAGCCTTACCTTTTAGAAACACAGAGACATCTTCAAGCTGAGGCACGTTGTCCTCCCTGTAGTCACAGTATTTAGTCAGCAGAGGGAAGTTTTTCAAATACTCCCGGCAAGCATGAGTGGGATACAGTTTGGAGAGCTCCCGGAACACAACACCCCAAGTTTTGGTTTCTTCCTCCGTGTACTCCACCCTGGGAATGGGCTGACCACTAGGCAGGACAGAAGACAAGTGAATGAATCTGACTCTAGACCACTGAGTTCAGTGTATTCTCACCCTCAAACCTATTACAAGTCAGATTCTTATAAAGTGGGACACCAGAGTGTCTGAAAGGTTCCCATTAATATGATTTTTTAAAAGCAAATGCTAACCTTCTAATTTTATATAAGTGTACTTATTTGGACTTCCATATAAATAATTTGATTAAGTAACATCTTCACACATCCTTAAAGAAATTTGATAAGCTTTATGTTCTTACACTAAGATCGCTTTGTTCTTACACTAGTAAACGTTTTGGGTTGGAGGGAACTAGTTTAGGTAAAAAGCTATGCTCTGAGAGCCTTCTTTGCAATCATGTGACAACAGTAATAAATGGATGTTGACTCCTGAGCCTGTGTGTGCTCTTTGCCCTCTTGGGGAACTCACCCCCATCTCCAACTGTAACTCTGAGATTATTTGTTCAAAGAGCAAAATGTCTGGGAAGTACTAAAAATCTCTGCTGAATTCTAAAGTGAGTTTTGTAAACTGTAAAATAGGAGCAATTATTACACATTATGCTGGGTGGCACACACATTAAGCCTTCTCAGCTTAGGAGAGGAGTCAGCAAACTTCTTTTGTAAAAGTCCAGAAAGTAAATATTTTAAGCTTGTGTGCCATATGGTCTTTGCCATAACTGAATTCTGCCACTGTATCTCAACGTCAGCCAAAGACAATATGTAAACAAATGAATGTAGCTATGATCTCAGAAAACTTTTATTACAAAAACAGCAGTGGGCTGGATATGGCCTACAAGCAGTAGTGTGTGGGTGCCTGATTTAGAATACTGAGAGGTGTCCCTGGACTGAAGTAGTCAGGGAGAGCTTCCTGGAGGAGTCTAAGTTTTGTTGACCAGGTAGCATCTGCAAGTCCCCAGACAGAAAAGTGAGGAGGAAGCTTTTCCAACAGCAGTCAGCAACCATGAGCAGGGTACATAGCTGAAGGAGAAAAATATGGACATGTACTTTTGCAAACTATTGCTTGGGGGAGCAGAATCTGAATTTATCCTCTGATTAGGACACGGATTTTGAAAGTGAAATTAGGGTTTGAGAAATCCTGTCATTACATGCTCAACAGCCAGCTACAGCGTGTCCCCACTGCCTACCTTGGCCCCTCGTCAGAAATTCCTCCCCTGCAGGCAGCAAATAGACACTCACAACATAGGCAAGTCCAAAGATATGCACACAAAAGCTGTCCTTCTGTCCCTGCAGTCTACACAACCCAGCCTGCAGCAGGCAGCCTCCACAGGAAGCCGAGCACATGCAGCAACTAGCAACTGCCACTCAGGGCTGCCACTACAGAGCCCCTCCACCAGGCTGGGTCACTCAGTGCACCCCTGAGATACTGGTAGAAACCAGGGAAGCGCAGTAACGAGAGGCCTAAACAGATCCTCCTACCCCAAAACGCTCCAGTACTTATTTTACAGTAGTCCTACCAAAATGCTTTCCATTAAAGTTCAGGTCCAAATGTAGTTCCTGCTGCCCCAAATTATTTTTATTTAAAAAAAAATTACTGTACAAAAAGAATGAAGAATAACATATACTGAAGAAAGAATAAGAAATTAGCATTTGCTTTTGCTAAGTACCAAGACTAGGGATTAAACAAAGCAAATTAGAACCAGATTAGCCTTGTTTAAATTTGGCTGTTGATAACAAATAAAAAATTACCACCTGGCAAATATTTGCTGAGAAGATCAAGACTGAGAAGGCTTAGCATATGTGATGACTGTAGAATGAAAGCTTGAAATGGAAAGATAAAAATAGAAGGATGTAAGGAAATAAATACACAAACGGTCTACCTCTGGTTCCAGAAAATCCAACAAAATCAATCTGAGTTGGGTAAGCCAATAAAACTAATAAGAGCTGTGCACACTCAGAAGATAGGCAAGCGATGAGGCTGAAACAATTAATGGAATATTGAGAACCCATTTGAAAGGAATCATTAGGTCAAACTTTTCCCTTAGATATTAATCTGTAAATGTGTAGCATCTCAAAGGGGAGCTGAGTATTGCAAACAGGAAGCAGGAAATATGTGAGTTAGGGTAGGAAGAGTCACCAGGGCCTGTCACTTAATAATGCATTTCCAGTGTGGCAACCTGAGAAATACGGATGGTCATTATATTCTCGTTTGCTTCCTCCTGTCTGTCCTGCCTGGCTAATTAGCCTGCTCTTTGAGTCAATGGTTGATTCTGTGTATTGCTACTACCCTGATCACAGGAAAGTCTGACTCTGATTGTATCAAGGGATCTCACACCACTACCCCTCGGCCTGCAGGTAACTAAGGTAAATCAATGTTTAAAACTCAACTTACCACAAAGTAAAGGCCGGTTTTATCCACTTACTGCTACTAAAAATATCCAAAATACAGAAAAAATAAGACATTTCCCATTTTTAGGCACTTAATATAGGTATATAATAGTAGTTCATGTTTGAAAGCTTATGATGTTTCAGATGCTTTTTTAAGGTTAAATGTTTTTACGTGAACAAACCCATTTGATGCTCACAACAACTCCTTGGGGTAGACACTGTTATTATCCCCATTTTGCAGATGTGGAAGTGAGGCTCAGAGGGAGATTAAGCTGTTTGCCTAAAATCACAGAGCCAGCCTTAAAACTGGGCAGTCTGGTTCAAGACTGACTGCAGTCTTAATTGATTAGTGTGTATCAATGAAATTAAAAATTTATTCCAGACACCAACTTATTTTCATATTCTAAACTAGAATAAGGCTTATAAATGTGTATACCTATACACAGAAAATCTCATACACGATCATATGCAATCATGATACTAGCATATATTTGTAGATCACATAAAGTACTTGCAATAATTTATTCACTTGTTTAATCTTCTCAATAAGACTGGATGTAGCATTTGGGCACCAGGATGGCAGAGGTACCCACATACCTTTTTAAAGCTTGGAATTTGACATTTGGAAAAAGAAAAATCATAGTCATGGGAAAAATCAGAATGGGTTGTACTTCGTCTTTGTTATGGGTTAATGGGGCTTTTGTGTGAATTGCATATGAGAAGGATGATCCATGGTGATCTTTTTAGGGCCTAGGATATTTACCCATATATTGGTACACCTATTTATGGGTGCACACTATAATGTGCACATGGCAGGTATCATATTTCAGCATCTTAAAACTCTGCTCTGACCCAAAACTGAAGCCATGTAAGAGAAAGCCCCCAGCGGCCAAAGCCGGCTCGCTGTAGGGCTTATTAAGAGGCAGCCGAAGCGGCCCTCGCACCAACGAAGTCCTCTCAGAGCACCCTTCCCAGGCGACTCCCAAACCCCACCTCTAGTCTAACAGGGAATAAGAGGTGTACAGGGCTGTGGGGAGGCCAGCATTTGAGGGAAAGGGCAGGGTTCTCGCCCTCCCTAAGGAAGGAGGGTATCATGAGAATCACTCATAGGGACTGCAGGTGTCTGCCCACAGGAAGTGGGGCCTGGCATCGCCATTTCCCAGTGGACCCTGTGGCGCGGCAGGACCACAGGCCCTCCATGGTGTGGCCACCAGGTGGAGCAGTACAGAAGGTCCCTGGGAAAACATCTCGAAGTCCGTGAGTACAGTGGGCCATGGGGGAGAAAGGGGGCCCTGATGTGCGTCCACTGAAATTTTAGGTTCATGTGAACATGGAACCCAATACCCAGTGAAATCTAGAGATTTCTGTGGGACCCACTGTGGTGTGTCTGGAGGACACAGGTGTGTCTGGAGGAAGAGGGAGCCCCACCTGTCTATTCTGCTCAGTTCTCAGGAGGCAGAAGCATGCGCCCGTGGCTCATATCAGCCCTGGTGAAGAAGCACTGAGGGCAGGTTTGTGAGGGGTTCCAAGCTACGGTGTCCCCAGCCTGGAGAAGGGGTGGGTGGTGTGCCCTCTGACAAGGCCCAGGGGATGCAGGGCACGGTTTCCTAGGGATGGAGGTGGAGGGAATGGTCCTGCCCCAACTACACACAACACTATGTTGACATCATTTCAGTAGAGACCACCCAGCAGGCAGAAGGCGTCTGAACCAGTGTGAGTATGGCCTGAGGCCTGCCCACCACTGACACTGTACCAATTCTGCAAGGCCCTCGGCCTCCTCCCTGCCTCCTCGCAGGCCCAACTCCAGAGGAATCAGGTCCTAGAAGAGAAGAAAAGTGTCTCAGAAGCACAGCACCACCCCAGACACATACACACTCACCCAAACAATGGAGCAGGAGGGAGAGCACACTTTGAATCAAGGTTGAGGTTAATCTCTTTTTTAAATGAACAGACTAGGTTTTAAATACCCAAATGAGACGATACTAATAATTGAAAATGACAGGAAATTAGATGTTGCTAAGAAACTTGCTTCCCAGCAGGAAAGTAAGATTCAACACAGTACGGTGGAAAGCAGTGAGTGGGGAAAATAAAACCATTTTACATTGATATAAACCCTAACAAGGTAAGACTTCTCAACAGACTGATTACATGTATATATGATACTTGGATCTCTAGGGAGTCTCCTCTATTGATGTGGAATTAGTCAGGATTCCGGAATTCTCAACAACCATCCCAATTATTATTCACAGATTCCTAATTCACAGGAGAAAAACAGATGTGCCTTTCAGTTTCCATTCACTACAGATTCTGCCCTCTTGCCGAGGAGTGGCAAACCAAGGCTCTGCCGACAAAGTAGGGAGCCAGGGCTCCGTGAAGATGGTACCAGGAAAAGGACTGAACTGGTCGCCATGGGGATTGAGGCTTGACAACAGGAAAAAGTCCCTGATGCAATAATGCTCCTCGAAATGGCTAAGAACCTTCTTTGGAAATAGGGAAGGCTGTGGGAGGCATCTCTCTGTCTGTAAAGTTAAATCCTACTCTTCCCAGAGGCAGGGAGATGATTCTGAAAAACCTGCCTTACCCCTGCAGAGAGGAGAGAGTGCGAAGTGCATAGACAAACATAATCAGGGGCAGGTTCAGACAGAGCTAT